GAGAGGTTTAGGGAGTTAAAACCATCCCTTCATATTTAATTAATTTCCAAATAAAGTTTAATGATCACTAATCAGTGGGTAAAGATTCATAATAAATAAGTCAAATAAAAATTTTAACTTTCTCCATTAATGACAACTTCTATACTCCAATCAAAATCTAAAATTGGTAAATGATTTGATCTCAACTTGTTTAGCAACCATAACCTACATTTGTGGAATAAGTCTCTTTTGTACTTTTTCAATAATATTGATGTTCAATATTTTTGTCTATGGCCTAAGAAGATAGTATATGTGGATTTTGATGTGTTGCGAGATACAGGTACCGAGTTGGTCCAATTTCCAAGTGACATAAACAAATAATTCACTAACTTGGAGGTTTTTATATAAGATGTGAACAAAATCAACTAAGTTAGTAATTGAGTCAAGTCTAGTCCAACCAGAATATTATACTAAAAAAGAATCATAATTCAACTGAAACTAAAACCATCTCTCAAAATGTTACATACATTCGTAATACTTTTCCAAATAACACAATCTTTTGAACATAGTTGAACAATCCCTAACAAATTGTCTTTCCTATATTTAGTTTTCATTATTTGAACACATAATTTGGGTTTATCTGAAAAAATATCTCACACCATTTTACCTATAAAAGAGGTATTAACCATTCGCATATTACAAACACTTAAGTCACCCTATTTTTTAGGAAAGATAATTTTGTCCCAACCAATCAGATGAATGTCACAGTCTAAATTATGAGAAAATCAAATAAAATCTCTAACTATATTATTGATATCATAATAAACAAATTGGGGTAGCTGCTAGATTTGCATAAGATATTACCTAAGTAGTTTCTTTTTTCAAGTTGTTATCTGTTAGTAAATTTTCTCGAGTAAAAGAGAAAAAGATTTTATTCAATCTACCTTTAATCAATGGAAAGCTAAGGTAGGTAAATATGAAACAACACAAATGGAAGTGAAGTCATATAAAGTATTACACTTTTGGTGAATGACTCCTTTTAAATACATTGCCATGAACTTATCAAAGTTGATCTTAATGTCAGAGGCATCACAAAATTATCACATCGGTGTAATAATATTTTTGACCTGTACATTTTTAACTGTACAAAAAGATAAACAACGTTAGCAAATGAAAGATGGAAACAAAAATTATTATTTAAGAGTTAAATAAATATTTTCAATATTATAATAAATTTACACATTTAAATTAAAATAACTGTTGTTTAAATAGACATAATAAGATGTTAATATTTTTTTATAGGTAAATAATTTTCAAACTCATTTTTAATTTTAAAAATTACATATTTTTAAAAAAATTTCTAAAATTTTTCTTTAAAATAAACTTTAACAAACGATTACTCTTACTTTTAAAACAACATTTATTCCTAAAGCGACCAACGTTAAAACAATATTATAATTAAGTATTCATTTTATTTTATAAAGTTATTGATCTAACTATTATTAAGTATTATAAATAATATTAGATAAATAATATAAATATTTAAAAAAGAATATAAACTTTTAATGCATTTTAATACTTTTATATTATAAAAAATTTCAAATCGTGTGTCAATAAAATAAATATATTGATTTAATAAGAAATAAATAACTTAGAAACAAAAAGAGTTAAAAAGTGAACAAAGAAAGGTTAATTATTAAAAAAATGAAACTCATAAATAAACATTATTGTTATTATTGTTATTATTATTATACAAATATTAAATAGTTCAACATGTTAAATATTCTAATTTGCTATTCCATACACACGGCCTGATTATTATTTTCAGTTTTTCAAATGAACTTTTGAAATATAAACCATTACTTCTCTTAAGTTAAAAGAAACTCTTTCTTTTGATCTTGAAACATGTTTCTATTATCTGTAAAATGCTTGGTGGTTGGGAGATTAAGCCCAACTAGGTTTGATTTTGTGCATGAAATAAAGGAAAAAACAAGTCACAAGTGAGTTAAACATGCACTATGAAGGAGCTGACCATAGTATTTCTGAGTGGGGACCACATGTTTGGCTCTCTGAAATATTTGAAGATTGACCAATATTACATATCATCCACTCACTATTAAAAAGAATTGTTGTTTGGCACCTTCAAATTTAAGTATCAAATTCATCGCTTGTACAGTGGGCTGACACACATCATAGAACAGTGCACTATGACCAAGTGCTTATGCTCTCCTCTTTTTCTATTCCCTTCTATGCCTTGTAGTACATATAAAATCAACCAGAATTATAAACCCACTAAACAACTAAAATTAACATACTGTTTATGTCCAGCTTATTGAACCGTTCAAAATATTAGTATGTTACGGGCTTATTGACATAGGGGGCTTCATATGTGCCTTCAACCTACGTTATACCAGACCAGTTTAGGTCCCTTCTCCACCATTGCTAATGTTGGGCATTTATATGTTTTACTTAAAATAGAGAGAATATATTTGCACCATTGCATAATGGATATCCTAAGATTAACTATTTAAAATTCACTATAATATCTTATTAAAGTTTAAATTAAGTTGGGTTCCCATCTTTAGATCTACTGCATATAAAGTTTGTCTTTGACCTTACCGGAATGGGTTGATCAACTGATATCATCAGAAGCAAAAGTTGTGGGTAATTGCCCAATTGGAAAGTGCGTCAGAGTAGTATATTGTTGTTGACAAGAAGGCATTAATTCAAAATTGACTATAAACCAAATTGGTGGACGAATTATAAGTGCTTCCCAAGCACACAACAACCTATTATAAATCACTCCTTTACACTTTCTATATTACAACCCAAAAATCAATTCACTCAAACTCAATGAAGTTCAAGGTATAGCTCAAATTGACGGAACAACAAAAAGTTAGCAAAAAAATGGAAACTTAGCTTATATGTGGTTTGTTTTCCTGCTTCACTCTCTTAGTGGACATGATTATATTTGGTTAAGGAGTAAGTTTTTTATACTTCTGTAGTACTTATTTTGTTATAACTATTTTTGTTTATTTGGCAGTTTTTAATTTTTAATTAAAATGAACAAATAAACAGGGATAAAATAGCCATACAAAGGTAAGTATTGTTATTTTAAGAAAAGGAGTATGTATTTTAAGAGTACTGTAAAAAAAATATTTAATTAATAAATAATATTTGAGGATTTTGAACTTAAGAATGCAATAATTAAAAAAAAGAGTGTTACTATTGTCCATCCAGCGCAACTGTAGCTTCATTTAATGGTTAATATCTGGCATGGACCTTCCTACCAACTATACACCAATAAATATCAGCTTTCGTAATATCAACTTTTAAAATTGATATTGGTTTTAAAATGATAAATGTTTATTAAAAATTATTATCACATAAAAATGTAACAAATATTTTACATCTTAATAAAATTTTATCACTCTTAGATAGTTTTATCATTCTCATCCTTGAAGTTGAATTTAAGCATTCAAACACAAGTAAATTTTGCATTAAAAAATAAATATTCATTACACTTTTATATTCTTAACATAATAAATGCTTTTTATTCTGATAAAAATTAATATATTTAAATGTTTAAACTGAGGCATAAAGGTTGGAGTTAACAAAACTAAAAAATCTTTTAATATTTCCATGGCTGTGCTTTGATGAAGAGGCATAAACTTAAATGTTATTGAGAAAGAAGGATCTAACAAGTGTGGACCTTGATTTTGTGAGGCAGTGAATGAAAGGAAGGAAGTGATAAAAGGAGGGAACAGCAACCACAAGGCAACCCCCCCACAACAGATTAATGGCACCCAACTACACACACAACATTTTATAGCCAAAGTGAATGCCATCTGCTACCCACCTATGTTATGCCTCTTCATGGCGCCTACTTTCCCAGCTGGATTTAGTAATTATATTAATTAAACTGACAAGGTAGTTTCCCATCTCAATACGCTCCCATCTTAGCGTTTGTGTTCCCACTAAGACAATATCCATATCAAGAAAAATTTTTGACTTTAGATCCTGACCATTTTTATTGTTATTTGTTTCCTTAAACATGTAATAAATAATACCACATTCTACGTATGCACTGCTTCCCAAAATATAAGTATTTTATGAATCTTTTAAACATTCATTTTATTATGTTGATCTGTGTTTCTTACATCGCGTGCTCTTTCTTAAAGCATTGAGTGTTTAAAATTATATGAACCGGACATTATAGTCTTAAAACTTTTTAAAAATATTATTTTACTTTAATTATTTTATTTTACTCTTTATTTTGCATTAAAAAGGAATAAAACAAATTTAATTTTATAAAGTTAAAAACTAATGTAAGATTTCTAAAGGCAATTAAAATGTCTAATTCATAAAATCTTGATGATTAATTTGAGTGTTTACTGCATTTTGGGTGATTTATGATTTCCTAATGAAAATATTAGTTTAGTTTGAATATCGATGCATGGACTTAAAGAGAGCTCACGTGAGATATGAAGCAAAATCATGCAAAGATGATAAAGTTTAAGCTCGGTATAAATGAATGTCAATGATGACAGCATGGTGGATCTGCAATGCTCTGCTACTTCAAGTCAAGGCAGTTCTGTCATAGACTGATTTCTTTCCTATGTTAGTAACGTATTTTAAACAGAGCATTGACAGCATAAATCACTCATTTCATCAAGATGGTAATCTCATCTTGGTCTCTATAGCATTATAGGATAGTCTTATCTAGAAGGGAGGATCTATGCTGATTATACAACGCATTCAAAAGTCTAGAAAATTATACATACAATCTTAGGAGTTTCTTTTTTCTGGTGCAAAAGAAAATTATAGAATCTTGGGAGATTATTGCTTGTTCATCTTTTCGATATTCAACTTTCAGAAAGCATTTTTTTTAGAAGAGCAACGATGATCTAACCTATAAATGACAGCCTATAAGATATTGCAATCATAAAGACACAAAATATCAGCTTTGGGAAGTCAAAAATAGCAGACTAAATAAAGAAAATTATCAAAATATGCTATAAATCCAATACTTGTGATTTAATTTAAGAGTCTAAATCAGGAACAAGCATCTTTAATAGATTGATAACCAATAGACAGACAGCATCCATGTACAATGCTTGCCTTTTAGAAGTACTATCTGCAAAATTCAAACAACATAATCGTAAAGTCCCTTACTTCTTAGCAAGAGATAACAGTTTATAATTCACAGTATGCACTCATTCTTTGAATAGGCACTATGAATCACCTAGACAAGTTTAATGGAGAAGTATCTTACAGGCAAGAAAACTAGACCTTATGACTTGTACAAAACTAGAATAAAAATACATGCACCAATAAATCAACACCAGCTTCAAGATTAAGATACCAATACAAGTTTATGTGCTATTCATGACAACAATTCTAACAAAGCATACTCTATGCAATAAGCAATCTGTACATAAACATATTTACAAGTTCAGCCTGAACTTTTATGCCCCTTTATAAATATGACTGCTTATGCACTGCACAAGTCAAATTGTAAACAAATATAATTATACTTTGAGAGTCATTGACAATATTAATCGTCAACGTCCAAAGTTCAGAATTCCACATTGTGTTGAGATGATACCCTCACAAGATATTTTATAAATCAAGAAAATGGTCACCACCATATTGAAGATTTCAAAATTTAAAAGGTATTCAATTGAGAAAAGAAGCACCACATTGCAATTGCCACTCCATGCAATCTTCAAAATCAAAACTGCTTGCACAATCCAGTAGGGCATTTTGTTGGTGTTCATAACGACATATGTAATTCAACCCAACAAGAAGCTCACTGATTGATTCCTCAGTCTTTTCCCTGTCAGCAAAGAATAATGTCTGAAGTAGCAGAACATTTGACCGGCTAACAATTTGGTGTTGCTCAAAATTGCGCTCACTTTGCCATCTGATCATGTTATGGGCAAGTAGGGCAAGCCACCTGAGTATCCCATCAAGATTCTCCTTCCAGTCATGGGCAAGAGGGGCATCATATATGGCCAAATTCTTGACATAGGACTTCAGTTTGGCCTTAAGAGATAACCTTAAGCTCGTAGGTAGCATCTGATATAGATCATCCCTTGCTTCCTCACCAACTAAATGCGGGTAGCGAAGCAGCTTCTCAATGACAATTATGACATTAGCATAGTGCAATGCTAGAGCAGACCCTCCAAGAGTGGAAGGAGGAGCATAAACAGCTAACCAACTTCTGGGACCAAACGTAGAGCAACTTTGTACACCAGATTTGGCTTGTCTTAGATCACCAGTGAAAGGAACAACACTTTGGGCATGACTTAGAACACCAGAATGGCACACGTGCTCCTTTTTCATGCTATTATTCCCTATCCCGACACTGCGACAGCTACTGTATTGGTCCTCCCGATTGATAACATAACCATCATCGACATCATCAAATTTTGAAACTGAGCTACTCAAACTTAGGCATTCCATAAAAAGTCTCCCCGGACTAGTTCCACATGGAAAACCAAAATCTTCAGGTCGAAGAGACGCTAACTCACCTCTTCTCATATCTATCTGAGGCTTACTAGTAGTTCCCTTCCTCTCCACTGCAGCCATTCTCCCGACTGAACCCGAATGAGATCCATTTCTCTTGCTCTGATTGCGTTTCAACCTCTCAGAACTCGTCTGAACATTGATATGGCCAGACACAAACCCGCATTCGTTTTGCATAGCCGGTGAGCCCCCACCAAGCCCAAGGGCACTCTTCCTCAAAGCAGATTCGCCAAAGATCGCAGAAATCCGAGCATAAATGGTACAAACAGTCCTAGCCAACAACTCAACAACCTTATCATAGGTCTGATTCCAAAGGGAAATATCCTTAAGATGCCTCACATCTTGCTTCTGCCACATGAGTTTCTGCTCAAACGCCCTCCTACTCTCCTCATGCTGATTGTGCTGAAACTTCTTCACTGCTTGCTCCAACTCATTTAACACCTCCATTTCACTGTACAAATTCCTGGTAACATTAACATACCTATCCATTTTCCTCACCATTCCCTCCATATGCTTAACTAAGAACCCCAATTCCTTGACATCTATAACCCCACCAACAATGTCCCCATACACATGCTCAAACCCTTGCAAGGCAGGCTCAGAACACTTCTTCCCCAACCTAGAAACCACACTAGCAACCCTGTTCAACTCCTCAAGCTTCTCAGCCAAAGCAAGCTCAAGAAGATAGGCCTCGTCAGAGGAAACCAAATTCCTAACACCCTCTGAGCCCAAGATCTCATTTCTCAGCTTTGAGATCTCAGACTCTGACAGTGACTTGTGAAGGTGCACAGTTTTGGACATCACATTTGCCACTTCAAAAGAAAGAATACCTATCATTTCTTTGCTCTCTGACCTCTTGTGGTTCTGTTTTCTCTTTGTCAATGTTTCAAGAAGAAGGGCATGCTTCAGATTGGAACTTACCTGGTTACCCATCTTTACAATCCAAGCTTCTGCAACCATAGCTGCAGCCACACTCCTTCAAAAATCAGCTGCAGATTCAAAATGGGGTGTGCCAAAAAGCAAAAATAATAGCTTATTTTTTAAGAATTTTCAAAAAACAGGCAAAAATATGCAATCATTTCTTCAAAATGAAACTTTTATAGCCCCAAAGCTGAGGCCTTTGGGAAACCTAGAACAACCCAGAACAGTGAAAATTCATAAGAAGCTTTGTGAGGGAAATTGGAGAAAGACCCATGCAGGTGGAGAAGGGGAAGAAGGCAAGAGGTTGTGAAAGTTGGAAACTTTACATGAATTGTTTGATGGATATGGTTGTAAACAAGGGGAAGAAAATGATATAAATGGAAGGGATAGTGGAGGAGTCAGAGAGTGCCCAAGAAAGTTAAAACAGTGGCACAGAGAAAGGTAGTTGTTGGCATGATGAGAAGATGAAGGTTTAGCATGCGCCACAAAATTGAGCAGTAGCAGTAGCAGGCGTGGGAAGAGGGAGGATGATGGGTGTAATTGAGTAAGCTGCAATAGCAATAGCAATGGCAATGGCAAGAGAGAGAGAGAGAGAGAAAAGTGTGTTGGGGCCTGCAAGAGATGGAGAGGTGTTGTTTTAGAAGTTTGAGACTTTGTTTGATGATGGGTGTCTGGCTTTCAAAAAAGGGTAGCAGAATTTTAGAAAGTGAACTGTGGACTAAAGCGGTTTATAAATTTGGATGTATTTTAGGTTGGAGCTGCTCCATTCCAGTAATACGTTATTTTAGTTTATGGAATTAGAGGTATTTGTTAATTTAATTTCAAAAATTATAAATAAAAAGTAAATTTGTTCTTATAATTATTATAAATTTTAATTTATAAGTATTCCTTAATTAGTTTTCAAAATTATGATAAAAAAATCATTTCCCAAAATTATTAAAAATTAATTATTTTAATTCTTATAATTATAGACACTTGTTAATTTAATATTTTCAACTATTAAATAAATTTTTTAGTCTCTAAAGTTAACCTAAATTATCATTATAATCTTTAAATAATATAGGCTACTGTGAATTTATTTTTCGAAATTATTATAAAGAATTGTTAGTTCATTAAAAAAAAAAACCTTAAATATAACAGTGTAAATGTCAATACGGTGCATATGACTACTCATATTATTAAATATACTTGTATTTTATTAAAAATTTGATAAAAAGAAAAAAAAGAAAAAAGAATGTGTTGTTGATATCATTATTTTATCTTTTACTTTAACTGTAATCGAAAAGTTATTTTCGCACAAATTTTGTTGTCTTTTTAAATATTTGTCCATTCATTATTTTTTATCATATATAAGGTAATTTTATAATATTTTTATTTATGTCAAAATATTAGAATTACTCGTTATGCCATGTATATTTTGGTTTCGATATAACAATATTAGCAATTAACTTTGAAAATCAAAAAATAAAAATGAAAAATCTTAAATGAAGTTATAGTTCGAATAACAACACCTTTATTTTTATATCAATTTTAAAAAAAATGAAGTTATATCTTAACAACATCTTTTTACATGATTACATCATATTCAAAATTGTTAAGTTTTAATAAAATTAATTATTAATTATTAATTATTAATTAATGTTCTAATAGTCAAATCTATAAATATAATATTTATTTTTAAAAAAATAATAATCTTTTCATTTAATAAGTAGAATATTCATAAGTGGCTGAAAGCTTTGAAGCTAACTGAAAATAAGGATGAAACACAAAATAACAAGTTATCTGTATAGCATCTCTCTTGACCCTCTTTTTTCTTTTTATCAACAAAATCGTTTTGAATTGGAGTGACTTGCTTGTTTGTGATGCGGACCTATACTAGAAATTTCCAACCCAAAAACATGGAAATGCAGATGTGGAAAGATATTTTGATTTTGCTTAATTGGGGGGTCTTAAAAGTCAGAAACTGGGAAATTTTTGGAGCTCATTAAATTTTTTCATTATGAGGAAAAATGAGAATATTTCCATTGGGTTTAACTTGTGTTTCACGGGACGACTATTGTGCCAATTTTGAACTCATTCAATGAGTCACATTTTGGTGTTCGCAATTGTAAAGTGAATGGAATATAACGTTTATAACAACCGATCGCCTTTCATCTCTTGAGAAAGAGTTGCATAAATAGAAAAACAACCAAATAGAAAGTAAATCCAATTTAATTTTTTAATAATTTATTGTATATTAAGTTTTTTTTTTAATTCAAATTTAAACTAAGTTACGTATCCGAATGTAGTGAGTGAGTTTACTAAAAATTTTACATACAACAAAATTTAAATTCAAAACTTTACTTAAGTAATATTAAATTGTTTCTCACTTAAATTAATTTTTAATTTATATTAAATTTTTTAATAAATAATTAAATTTATATTTAAATAAACATGTATTTTAAAAGGCTAAAAAAATATCAAAATTATAAATTTTTATTTATTTAATATGATATTATAAGTATATTATGATTTATATATAAAAATATTTAATGTATGATATATTATTATAAAATTAATATTTTAATTAAGTCAATTTATTAGATCTAATAGACTTACGTCCTATCACATAGTTTAGGTTACTTTTATCCTTAATGTTAAGTATTAAATTTAAACACTTATAACATATTTAATAAATATTATTATGAATTATTTAAATAAATTATTTTGTTATAAGTATATATATATATATATATATATATATAATAATAATAATTTATTATTTTATTGTAATTTATTTTATTTTAGGTCAATGATTTTATGTGTAATTTTATATTTTATTTGAGTATTTTAAAATAAATTTTTATTTTATCATAATATTTATACTTTATTAGTTCATAAAAAATATTTAAAAAATAGTATTTTAGATAACATATTATAAATTATGAGTATGAGTATTGGAATTTAAATATCAACAGATGTGATGATAAAAGTTAAATTGTTACTCAACGACTACAAAAAATATGTAAAAGTAATATTTTAAAACACAAATATAAATAGGAATAATTTAGAAATTTATCTATCCTATCCCATTACTATCCCTAAGTTTACTTCATTTTCATTTAGTATACTTAGAAATTTATTCACGAAATATTCGTCCACTTGGAGAACTCATTTTGTGAAAAATATCTTAATGGTAAACCACTAATGAAAGCATTAAATTTGTACACTATTTTCATATAGTTACGCATTAACTTAAATATTAAAATAGTTTTTATAAAAAATTAATTTAAATATATTGATAGTGTAAAATTTGATTATGTTATCACTTGATTATAAATTACTATGTATGTAATAATTATTAATTTGTGTAGTAATTAATATAAAAAATATATCCATAATATATTTTAATTAATTGACAATATAAAAATTTTCACACTAACAATAAATCAAAATTAAACTGGGTATAAATACTCTAATTTTCCTGTTTGTATTAACCTAGCTACGGGATTCAAAGTCTTCAAGAGACTAAACTTAATTAATGTGGTCTCTTATTCAAAATTTATATTCAAATTAGAATTGACTTAATTGGAATAATAATAGTAATTGAAAAATATATAAAAACTACATAATAATTTTGTATACATAAAAGTCACAGAACATAAAACATGTTAAGAAAAAAGAGTTACTTTTAAAAACTCATTAATTCATAATATAAAGGGGGAAATTTTTGTTAAACTTGAGCACTTTTGTTATTGTGAATTTGTGATAAATTAATTTGAAAAATATTGTTGAAGGTTGAGGATTTTATGCAATAATAGTGGTTAGGTTCCCCAAATCCCAAGGAATTGGAAAGGAAAGTATAGAAAAAGTAAGTTGACAAAAGAAATGATTAGGGTGAAAAATGAAGAGGTTAGGACACCCACTATATGGAAAATTTGACTTCACCCTGCGTACATTAGGGGTGCTTTCTTCATACTTCCAATCCAACTAAACAAACAAACAATTAACGTTGGATCGGATATGACTTTTGGTCCAAAGAATGCGCGTCAATTTGGGGGAAATGACAATTACATTTTCGGGATACAACTTAGAAAAACACTTGCATATGTTTTTGTATCACAATTTTATTTTTTTATTAATATATTATTTTCTACCTTTATTTTTAAAAACTAATTTTAAACATATTTATTTAAAATAAAAAATTATCTTCTCCTTTTCTCCCTATATCTTTCTTTCTAAACAAACTCTTAAAATATTTTATGTTGTGAGTAATCATTTATTTGTAATTTATATTCTCTTCATAAAAAAATTTCTTCATTTTTATCAATTAAAATAAAACCGAGGACCTGTTTGATTGTGCTCTTTTTTTATACTCTCTAAAATTGTTTGTTATACAAACCTTGGAAACAATTTTCCAAAATAGAAGAACAATAAAATCCTGATTGTTTTGTCTTAAAAATATTTTTTTTTACACTTCGTTAAAAGTATCCAATTTTAGTATAAATTTATAATTGATATTAATTTAATTCACATCCTAACTATGTAATTAATTTTTCTCAACTTTAAAATACTTTAATCCATTTTTTTAATAAAATATTCGAGAAGCTTGCTTCTTAAATTCTGAGATTTTTCATTGACAAAAAAAAAAGTCAGATTTTAAAGTTTAAAAGAAGTTTAATTTATTTACGGGAATGTCCTTCAGGAACTTTCGTATTTACAAGATTCCCTCAACAAAAGCAACAAAACAAGGAAATAAGTTTCAGTTATTTACTAGAACTAAAATGTCAGTAATGAATCTTCAAATTTATAAATTTTGCCAACACACCAAAAAACTAACTTTTGAGAACACCTTTTAAGTGTTCCTTAATTCCTGTTTTAGAAAATAATAACGTCCAAAATATTATTTTTAAAATGCGTTAAAAACAATGATTCCAAAAATTTTCTTAGAAAACAGAAAACTATTTGTAGAAACAATAATTGTATTTCATTTTATTTTATTCAAAACTTTTAATAATTTAGATCTCAACTAAATCGAATTGAATTGAGGGGAGCTATTTAGGAAACAAATTATCTTAATCTATTTTTTCTATTTACAACATTCAGATTTAAAACTTTGTTTAAGAGATCCACTCATATTTACATATATTGATTGGAAGAAATCAATTTAACCATTGAAATTATTTTCTTTAACAGGGTTCGCCTTAACATAAAGTAAATAAAATTCTTTCTTTAATCTCAAAATATTTTACATGTTAATAATAATTTTTAATAATAAATTGTATTATTTTTTATGAGTAATTAAATATTTTTTAAAAAAATTTATTTTCTCTTTTACCTTATAATTTTAAATTTTTTTCATAAATTATATCTCTTATGATTTTAAATACTTTTTTAGTCTATATTTTAAAAAATTTCCCTAAATTTAATATACCATATACTTAATAATTATTTATATTTGTGTACCCATATTTATGGATGGTGTAGCCTTACCTTAGTCTATATTGTTGAATTAATTATTTAATGGGTAGGCTAAAACTTATATATATATATAACATCCACCTTTTCTTTTTCCAACTTTTCCTTTTAATATTCTTTCGCTCCCTTTTCTTTTTCAAATGAAACATCATGCTTTTTCCACAACCATAAAACATGTATGAAATGCATGAGATGAATAGAGAAACATAAAATGCCACGTTAATGTTTATAAAATATTAGTTTATGCCCATATGGTA